AAAAGAAATACTTTCGAATTATACTCATCACCGACAGTTGTCTCGTTTTTTTTTTATTCTATCTTTTTCGGTGGGTCATGTTCAAAGGAACCGACAAATTTAAATATATTTTTATGGAAATCTAGGAAAGGTTTATTTTTTTTATGTATGTTAATTGATTTGAAAATCTAATCATGTTATTGGATTATTGATTTAAAAATCTTAATCACGATCATTTGTTATATCTCGAAATAAAAATTCGGTGGTATTCAATGTTTATTTTTTTTAGGTTTTAGTAGACGGTTTAAGCAAACATTTGAATTTCATATAGCTTTTTGATACACACAAAATTTTTGGTTAAAAGGGTTTTAACAAAGTTTATAAATGACTTTTTGAGTATAAAAATTCAAATACAAAAATAAACTGTTATTTTAAATATACATACTGGAACTAAGATGCATATATTGAATATTAAAATCAATAAATTCTATAAAAATTTCCAAAATCTTAAATTAAAATCAGCGTAACGGACAAAAATAAAATTACAAAATTCAACACTTCTTTTATGATTTTTTCAGCAAAAGTCTCCAGATTAAAAATTAGTTGAACCTAATATTGACTCTCTTTGATTTTGGTTTCCGTTCTTCTTTTGAATATTTACATGCTACAATACTGTTTTTCTTTTAATAACTTTTAGAATTTGAAGCATTGTATATACATATTAATTGCATATGTAAACGCAAACACAAAAAAATTGCATTTTTTTCGTTTGAAAACAAGATTCTGATTTTGTCTTGGGAACTCAAGATTTGATTAGAAGAAGAATAGAAGCTCAAAAAGAGTGTGTTTGTGATTGTTTGTTGCAGGGGAATCCAGAGCTAGGATTAGTCCAAGCAAGATGGTCATTCGTAAACAAAGACGAGAATCTCCTCACGAGGCTACAAAACATAAACTTATGTTTCCATTTCGAAGTAGAACAGCAAGTGAACGGTGTGTTTCTCAACTTCTTCGGTTTCAATGGAACCGCGGGAGTCTGGAGAATCAAAGCATTGGAAGAATCCGGCGGATGGCTCGAGAGAACTACCGTGGAAGATATGGATATCGCGGTTAGAGCGCATCTCAACGGTTGGAAATTCATTTACCTTAATGATGTTGAAGTCACTTGCGAGTTGCCTGAGTCTTATGAAGCTTACAAGAAACAACAACATCGTTGGCATTCCGGTCCTATGCAACTTTTCCGGTTGTGCCTTCCTTCAATCATAAAATCAAAGGTAAATAAAATAAATTTCAATTTCTGTAACAATCTATAACCAATGTTATATATTGGCTATGCTAAAATCAAAGCTAAATCAAACTAAAATTCAATTGCTATAACAATCTATAATCAATAGTTTAATAATAATGAGTTCCATTTCTAGAATTATCTACAACTAGTGATGGTAATTTAACCGTCATTTGGAGATGCAAAGCATGAATCGTACTTAATTG